TCGCCTGGAGCTCAAGCTTGCCATCACTTGCATGGCATACGCAGGACATCCGAATGGTTGTAATACGGAGTAATCAATAAGTTTTCCCAACCAAACTCTCTCAAGAGTCTTCTACTAGATAGTAGACGATGGAGATTAATTATCTAGGAAACAAGCCAGATTCACTACTTTGGCCCCAAATTCCTTACCTAGTCTTGCATGTAAAAACATGCACTGAGCTCACTCATATTAAATTTACCTTCTTCTGCGATGCCATTTGGCTTTGGAGTCCTGGGCATTGTAGTGTCTCACAATCCTCTCTTTCTGTCAAAATTCGATAAAATTCCTACCATAGAGCTTCATGTTGTTATTGGTTCTATGGCACTTGATCTGTTTATCTGACTATCTCTTAATCAGTGCCTTAAACTTCGTGAACCAATTAAACACCTTGAATTTGTGCTCAAGAAGTATACCCATACCTTCCTCAAATAGTGATCGATATATCCCAGCATATATTGGGCAACTCCTTTTGAAAGGAACCATAAACAGGCCTAAGACGTCTAAATGATTGTGTTTAACTGGTTGTTTGATCGAATGAATAGTTGTATTAAATTTAATCCGATGTTGCTTCCCAAAGACGCAGTGCGCTCACACAAGTCCAGCTTCACTGTCTTATGACCATTCAACAACCCCTTCTCACTCAACATCGCAAAACCCTCACTTGTGTGCCTAACCCATATGCCATAATCGCGTCAAGTCTAAGTCTGACTCATCTGTTGAAACTGTAACAACTCCTTCATAGTTTCTCTTATTAGATAATAGAGAGGATTTACTTCCCTTTCATCACTGTCATGGTACACAAGAGATCTTCACTAGTCCACCTTCAATGGTATACTTACACTGTGTCCCTAGAAAAATAAGGTTATTCTTTAACTCAAGTATAGTGTGTGCACTACCCATTCATACATCAAAATCAAAATTGTTCATATTCCCACAATCTTGCAAGCTGCCTTTGTAACATTCTGGATTCTCGATCCTTTTCCCGGGATTTATGAAATGAATATTTTGGCCAATGCACTTATAGTGAGATCTTACCCGGAACCGCGCATTCACGGGATGCTAACCTTAGGGGTAAGGCCATTACGGGATTGAGTTCGCACGACCAAAGAACTCGACCTTGGTTCGACCTTCGACCAAAAGGATTGACGAGGGAATGTTTTGGGCCAACAGAGAGCGATCTAATTGATTGATCGTATCCGAAGGGAACTAGTGACAAACCCTCGCAATTATATGACAATCGAGGTCGCCTTGGTTCGAGCAAACTTAAACGTGATTTGACTTAGTATCGATCATGGGTCGAGAGCGCGTAATCCCAACGAGCCACCCGTTAGCAAGAGATAAGCTAAAGTCGCGATTGTTCGATCCTAGTCATTTCTTGGAATTCGAGCCCGGGAATCGAGAATTTTGAAAGTGACAATTTTGAGCGGCCGATGGCGTTTTTGGCTTGGCCAACCTTGGGGCCACCCATTTCTGCAAAAAAATTGATTTCGGTTCGGGACCGAAAAAAAATTACCATTTTGCCCCTCAAGACTTCAATGCCGATTTTCGAGGGCGTAAGTGACTATTTTGCGAGGCCGACACCATTTTTGAGTGGCCACATATATTTGAGGTTGTTATAGCCGAAAATTGGAATTTCGGTCCGAAATTGAAAAATTACCATTTTGCCCCTAGGCTATTTTGGGGTATTCCGAATTTTGGGCAATTTTGGGGATTAAATTAATTATTGTTTCAGCCCAATAATGCAAATTTAGTTGGACCAAATTACCCCTAGTTAAGTTGATGTGGATTAATGTGAGCCAAGTATTAAGGGGCAAAGTTGGAATTTTGGAAATGGGGTCAAACTTCCTTGGACCAAATTTATTAGCTTTGTTTCTTGCTCATCTACTTCACCGGCCATTTCCCCTGTTCTCTTTCTCTCCCTCACGATCAGTCCCTCTCTCTCATTTTCCTCTCCATTTCCCGCCGGTCATCCCCTCCTCCGTTCGGGCGTGATCGCCGATCGCCGAGCACGCGGCCGCCGCTCCGCCGTTCGCTGCCTGGCCGCCGGCGATGCTGCTGGGCCGGCTGTTCCAGCTTCTGTCCAGCCCGTTTGTTCCGTCTTTCTAAAGTAAGTGACTTTCCCAAACGTTACCTAGGACCTCGGGTATTGTTAGACACGTTTAGGACTCGATTTAGGTGAATTTAGTGGCTGTTTTGGGACTGTGATGAGGGCTGAGTATTTGGTGGTTGTGGACTGGTTTGGCGATGGAAAATGCGAGGTTTGGGAGGTTCGGATAGGGCCGTGATGATATGGAACGATTACGGTTTGAATCCGTGAGCTTTGGTGTGATTCTCGGATTCGTGACTACTGTACCCGTCCGGTTTACTATTTTTGTGGAGAATTTTGAGGGCCGAATTTGAGGAAGTTTTCTGCATGAAAGTTGCTCCCAACATCTTGAAGTATAACATGTTTTAAATTTGGAATTGTTGGAGGCCATTTGGGTCGTACGAAAACCCATTTTCAGACCATATTGAAACCGTCCGGAACACTATTCATCCCGACCTTCTTGTCTGGTCAAATTTTTATAAAATTTTCCAGATTTATTTTCAATAAACTTCCTTCACAAAAGTTGTTGGCGACTTTCTTTTCTATAACATATAAAAATTTCAAAGCTTTTCAAGGTGATTTGGGTGTTGAAAGAAATGTATTTTGAGGACAAAACAGTCTGTTAGAGCGAACTGATTTTGGTCTGATTTCGAGGAACAAAAAGGCATAGTTGCAGATTGAACCGGATTTTGTGTTCTTCATAAGAAATGTTTATCAAGATATTTTTTCTTTATGATACATCCAAAATTTAGAATTTTTGGAGTTCGTATATGCGATCGTATGGTTTGTGATTGTTGGTTGATTCTGGATTGTGTCTTGGGCTGAATGTGGCGTGATTGTGTGCCGAGAGTGTGTGGCCATGAGGCGTGATGGTGTGATTGCGCATTGAGTTCGCGTGCCAAGCACGGGTGATCTTGTGGTGTTCATGTGGCGAGAATGTGTATTTGTGAAGTGTATGTGAAGTGTGCGATTGTGTGTGGCCGTGTGTATATGTGGACGTGTGGTATGTGTGGTATGACTGGAACGATGATACGAGATGATTGGAATGGTTGGAAAAGTGATACCCTGAGGCGTGTTCGTTTACGCGGGGTAGGGTCCGTCCTGAAGCGTGTTTGTTTACGCGGGACGATGCCGTCCCGGACGAGGTGACGATGCCCGGCCCGACGGGGTGACGATGTCTGACGAGGTCAGAAGACCGTTGGCATGATGCGTTTTACGCGGGCGCGGTCGAAGGCAAGTTGAGGTGTAGGATTCCGTCCTGAGGCGTGTTCGTTTACGCGGGACGATGCCGTCCCTGACGAGTTGACGATGCCCGGCCCGACGGGGTGACGATGCCTGACGAGGTCAGAAGACCGTTGGCCTGATGCGTTTTACGCGGGCGCGGTAGTGGTGGAAAGGTTGGGAGTAAGCTGGACTTGGTCGGACTTGTGAGGACTGCGAAAGTTGACGCATGGTGTGAGTTAGTGTGCGAGTGTGTTTGTATCGCGTGTCATAGCACGCGATTATGGGGTAAAAACTGCTAGGCATGGTATGGGACGTGCCCAAGTGGGTTTTGCCTTATAATCGAGGCACGCGCGCGACTGTGATGTATTACTGTGGTATGTTGGCTGTGTTGTTATCTAACGTGCAGGAACGTGCGTGATGGATCCCAGGTAGGATCGTATGTGTTTGTTAGTTTGGTTGATTGTTATGTGTTGTGCGTGTTTCTTCTGGCGGTACGTGAGAGCCTATGTGGGGTTTGGGGTTGTACACTTATTGAGATTCGTCTCATAGTTGTATAATCCACAGTTTCAGACCCCCAGCCGTAAACCCAGGAGGCCCGCCTCCTCTTTTTGGAGTTTGAAGAGCCGCCCATGGTGCCCAGTAGAGCTGCAGGTGATCCTCAGGAGCAGATTGGAAGAGGGCGACCAGTAGTTTCCCCCTAGGGTATTTTAGGGGTTGCGCAAAATAGATCGATCAATAGTGAAGTTAAGTTAACCAAGCCATCTGATCCTTTTTGTTATGTTGGTGGTTGTGAATGCTTGTTCGCTAAGCTCGTGTATAATACGAGGTTTGTATGCTTGGTGTAGTGGTATTGTATATGAGTGAGTGTTGTTGATATTTGACTGTCTTGTGGAGCTACCCCATCGTCGTCTTTTTAGTCAGGGGTTTTTATATTCGCTTCCGCATGTGTTTCTGATGTTTGGGTTGGGTCGGCGATGTTCCTGGGACATCGCAACCATTCGACCGCAGAGGGAGATGTCGCGTGCTCGATGGGGCTCGGGGCGTGACATTCCCGTTTGAATTGGTATCAGAGCAAGGTTAGCTCGATATCAGTAAGGTCGAGACCTGGAGTGATAAGGAGCGACGACTTCGGGGTAGTCAGTTAGGGAGCCCTTCGTAAAATGCATGTTTATGTTGATTATGCATGTCCTGTGAGTACGCGCCTGTGGTTGCTGAGTGGTTTATTGTGGTTGTGATGTTGAATGAGACGAAGGTGCGGCAGGACTTGAGGTGAGTATGAGAACCTTGTTGGTTGTCTGGCGATGTTGACTTGATGTTGTGTGATTGGTTTAATGGTTGGGTGTTGAGTGTTGGTTGTCGAGTTTTGTGCCTAGAGCTTGGACTAGTATAGTTGGCCTAGGTCCCTAATACCCGTATGGAATTATAGCAAGTAGGAGAGTGGTAGGAAGCTGATACAATGAGCAGTGAAGGAAGAGGTGTAGGAAGAGTCCCAAGAAGGGAAGTAGGAAGAGGAACAAGAGGTGGAGGTCGTGCTCGAGCTAGAGCTGTAGAGGACCTAGATATGGGTGCTAGAGCGGTAGAAAACCCTGGAGTTAATGCTGGAGCTGCAGTGGACCCCAGAGTTGATGTTAGACCGGTGGAAGATCCACGTATGGAAGGAGTCCTCAGAGTATTAGAGAGGATTGGAAATATGTTGGACAGGCAAGCTCAAGAGCGAGAGAATGCGATCGCCCCAGCTGCTGAGGCTGCAGTTGCTGTAGTTAATGAGAATGCTGGTAATGGAATTGGGAACCGACAGATGCATCAGATAGTAGAACAATTTCTGAAACTGCAACCACCCAAGTTTGAAGGAGTAGGGGATCCGGAAGCTGCTTCTAAATGGGTTGAGGAGTTGGAAAAAGCTTTCGCTTTGTTGGGGTGTACGGAAGCCGAGAAAGTGACGCTGGCAGTGTATCAGCTTCAGGGTAATGCGAACGATTGGTGGAAAGCCACGCAAGGCCGAGTATTCCCCGCGGGTGTGGATCAGAATTGGACGGCCTTTGTTCAGGCTTTTAATGAGAAGTATTTTTCGGTGAGCGCACGAGAAAGAAAGATGACAGCTTTTCTTAGACTGCAGCAGAATCAAATGACCGTGGATCAATATGAGGCAGAATTTGCCAAATTGTCTAAGTTCGCGCAGAGAATGGTAGAACATCCTGAGGATAAGGCGCGAAGGTTTTGGGATGGATTGAGGGCTGATATTCGCAGCCAAATGCTACTGGTGAATTTGAGGACATATGAAGAATTGTATGAGAGGGCTCAGGCTATTGAGTAGGATATGACGGATAGAGTTGATCCGGGGGCGTCGCACTCGTTTGTGTCTGCTCGATATATTAAATTGGCTGGATTGAAACTGTTTTTAGAAGTGCAGGCGTGTGTGACTGCACCGTTGAGAAATGAGGTATGCGTGTTGTTAGGGTGCTTAGATTGTGAAATTGTGATTGGTGGTGTAGGAAGCTGGATAAATTTGGCTGATTCGACTACGTATGATTTGATTCGATTGTGGGCATGAATTGGTTAGTCAAACGGAATGTTGTAGTGGATTGTCTGTGGATCTGACGAATATTGAGACAGTTACTGAGTGTTCGAGGATGGAATTTGGAAGTTTTGGGGATGACGTGTGTGCCCGGTGATTTGGAGCTTAAGAAGGGATTTTATTGGGAACTTATAGGAGCAGTTATTGTATTCATCCGGGAGCACGAAAATATGCCAGAAATTTTGGTAGCATTGTTGGTGGAATGAAGCGGGAGAAAGGAAGAAAGAAACGTCATCACCCCCATTCGTTGGATGATTGCGTATTGTTGCAAATTTCGAGGACGAAATTTTTATTAGGGGGGAAGAATTGTAACATTCTGGATTCTCTATCCTTTTCCCGGGATTTATGAAATGAATATTTTGGCCAATGCACTTATAGTGAGATCTCACCCGGAACTGCGCATTCACGGGATGCTAACCTTAGGGGTAAGGCCATTACGGGATTGAGTTCGCACGACCAAAGAACTCGACCTTGGTTCGACCTTCGACCATAAGGATTGACGAGGGAATGTTTTGGGCCAACATAGAGCGATCTAATTGATTGATCGTATCCGAAGGGAACTAGTGACAAACCCTCGCAATTATATGACAATCAAGGTCGCCTTAGTTTGAGCAAACTTAAACGTGATTTGACTTAGTGTCGATCACGGGTCGAGAGCGCGTAATCCCAACGAGCCACCCGTTAGCAAGAGATAAGCTAAAGTCGCGATTGTTCGATCCTAGTCATTTCTTGGAATTCGAGCCCGGGAATCGAGAAATTTGAAAGTGATAATTTTGAGCGACCGATGGCGTTTTTGGCTTGGCCAACCTTGGGGCCACCCATTTCTGCAAAAAAATTGATTTCGGTTCGGGACCGAAAAAAAATTACCATTTTGCCCCTCAAGACTTCAATGCCGATTTTCGAGAACGTAAGTGACTATTTTGCGAGGCCGACACCATTTTTGAGTAGCCACATATATTTGAGGTTGTTATAGCCGAAAATTGGAATTTCGGTCCGAAATTGAAAAATTACCATTTTGCCCCTAGGCTATTTTGGGGTATTCCGAATTTTGGGCAATTTTGGGGATTAAATTAATTATTGTTTCAGCCCAATAATGCAAATTTAGTTGGACCAAATTACCCCTAGTTAAGTTGATGTGGATTAATGTGAGCCAAGTATTAACGGGCAAAGTTGGAATTTTGGAAATTGGGTCAAACTTCCTTGGACCAAATTTATTAGCTTTGTTTCTTGCTCATCTTCTTCACCGGCCATTTCCCCTGTTCTCTTTCTCTCCCTCACGATCAGTCCCTCTCTCTCATTTTCCTCTCCATTTCCCGCCGGTCATCCCCTCCTCCGTTCGGGCGTGATCGCCGATCGCCGAGCACGCCGCTACTTGCTCCGCTCGCTCAGCTTCCGGCTGGCACGGCCGCCGGCGATCTTGCTTCTTCTTCTTGGGCCGGCTGTTCCAGCTTCTGTCCAGCCCGTTTGTTCCGTCTTTCTAAAGTAAGTGACTTTCCCAAACGTTGCCTAGGACCTCGGGTATTGTTAGACACGTTTAGGACTCGATTTAGGTGAATTTAGTGGCTGTTTTGGGACTGTGATGAGGGCTGAGTATTTGGTGGTTGTGGACTGGTTTGGCGATGGAAAATGCGAGGTTTGGGAGGTTCGGATAGGGCCGTGATGATATGGAACGATTACGGTTTGATAACGATTACGGTTTGGTAACGATTACGTTACCTTCTTGTTTGGTCAAATTTTTATAAAATTTTTCACAAAAGTTGTTGGCGACTTTCTTTTCTATAACATATAAAAATTTCAAAGCTTTTCAAGGTGATTTGGGTGTTGAAAGAAATGTATTTTGAGGATAAAACAGTCTGTTAGAGCGAACTGATTTTGGTCTGATTTCGAGGAACAAAAAGGCATGGTTGCAGATTGAACCGAATTTTGTGTTCTTTATAAGAAATGTTTATCAAGATGTTTTTTTATGATATATCCAAAATTTAGAATTTTTGGAGTTCGTATATGCGATTGTATGGTTTGTGATTATTGGTTGATTCTGGATTGTGTCTTGGGCTGAATGTGGTGTGATTGTGTGCCGAGAGTGTGTGGCCATGAGGCGTGATGGTGTGATTGCGCATTGAGTTCGCGTGTCAAGCACGGGTGATCTTGTGGTGTTCATGTGGCGAGAATGTGTATTTGTGAAGTGTATGTGAAGTGTGTGATTGTGTGTGGCCGTGTGTATATGTGGCCGTGTGGTATGTGTGGTATGACTGGAACGATGATACGAGATGATTGGAATGGTTGGAAAAGTGGTACCCTGAGGCGTGTTCGTTTACGCAGGACGATGCCCTCCCGACGAGGTGACGATGCCCGGCCCGACGGTGACGATGCCCGACGAGTGCGAGAGGTCGAAGACCGTTGGCCTCGATGCGTTTTACGCGGGCGCGGTAGTGGTGGAAAGGTTGGGAGTGAGCTGGACTTGGTCGGACTTGTGAGGACTGCGAAAGTTGACGCATGGTATGAGTTAGTGTGCGAGTGTGTTTGTATCGCGTGTCGTAGCGCGCGATTATGGGGTAAAAACTGCTAGGCATGGTATGGGACGTGCCCAAGTGGGTTTTGCCTTATAATCAAGGCACGCGCGCGACTGTGATGTATTACTGTGGTATGTTGGCTGTGTTGTTATCTAACGTGCAGGAACGTGCGTGATGGATCCCAGGTAGGATCGTATGTGTTTGTTAGTTTGGTTGATTATTATGTGTTGTGCGTGTTTCGTCTGGCGGTACGTGAGAGCCTATGTGGGGTTTGGGGTTGTACACTTATTGAGATTCGTCTCATAGTTGTATAATCCACAATTTCAGACCCCCAGCCGTAAACCCAGGAGGCCCGCCTCCTCTTTTTGGAGTTTGAAGAGCCGCCCATGGTGCCCAGTGGAGCTGCAGGTGATCCTCAGGAGCAGATTGGAAGAGGGCGACCAGTAGTTTCCCCCTAGGGTATTTTAGGAGTTGCGCAGAATAGATCGATCAATAATGAAGTTAAGTTAACCAAGCCATCTGATCCTTTTTGTTATGTCGGTGGTTGTGAATGCTTGTTCGCTAAGCTCGTGTATAATACGAGGTTTGTATGCTTGGTGTAGTGGTATTGTATATGAGTGAGTGTTGTTGATATTTGACTATCTTGTGAAGCTACCCCATCGTCGTCTTTTTAGTCAGGGGTTTTTATATTCGCTTCTGCATGTGTTTCTGATGTTTAGGTTGGGTCGGCGATGTTCCTGGGACGTCGCAACCATTCGACCGCATAGGGGGATGTCGCGTGCTCGATGGGGCTCGGGGCGTGACAGCCTTATTCCCCATAAAAACTCTATCATTATTTCCATTTTGGTAAGTAGTAAACCACTTCCTATGAGGCATCATATTACACACCCCGACTCCAGCACCCATTCGTTACCTAACAAGTCGGTAGTCACACACAAGACGGCTTCGGCTTCACTGGTGCTCTCTTTGGCAATGTTAATCGCACAACTTGTGACATTTTCCCTAAGACACCTAATTTTTCACCAAGGTTTGATTTGAATTGGTTCGGAAGAAAACCTCGATCTAATTTTTCACCAAGGGCAACATTGAATCATGCTCTATAAGAGCTTTGCAACAACATCCAGTTGCCCAAATCAGTAGGTCGAATCACAAGACATCGTAACTTTTAAGCATAGTCGTTGAATCTCAAGAGCATCTAGAAAGTTGTAATTTTCTAAGATCAGGCAATCATATCGCAAAGACCTGCTCGTAAGCTTATTGATGAAAGTTTTATCGAGGGATAAATCATGACTTTTTTCAAGAGCTATTCGATCAGCTCAGATCCACGAAAATCACTTTTCGAAATTCGTAGCACAGTTTGGGAAAGTCAACATTGCTAGCTTTATGCGGAAGCAAAAAATTCAAGTTGGTATCAAGGTCAAACTTTTGACTTAATTTTTTTTTTGCCCTTAGTATTGACTGTACTATTACACAAAACACCTTAAAAATTTGAAATATTTGCATGTTTGTGTTTAAAGTAGTTTGAAGTCATGAGTTTCGAAATTTAAAATTGATTTTCGTGTGGATACGGAAGTCATAAGTCGTCTTTAGATGCCAAAAACAAGCAGATTACAAAAGGAGCTTTCCTCTGACAAGGTAATTTCCTAGTTGGCTTCAACTTTTTGTCAACTTATCTTCTGTTGAGTATGTTTAACTCGGAAGATGTACTACGCTACATTCGTCCATGCGTTATGATTGATCTTCAAATAATTATTTTGGCTTGCAATTCGAATCGTCATATTCATACTCCCAAAATATCTTTGGATTAGTAATAAATACTTTAATTCATCAAATAAAAGAAATTTCCGTCCATCTATATATTAGACTAATCATTATTTTTAACCCACTATGCTATATATCCATAAAAATAGGGGCGTAAAAAATACCTGAACCAGATCGAATTGAACCAAAACACTTTAATAGGGTAAAAACGTTTTGGGTCTTTTAGATTCGGATCCTTCCGGTTCAGGAAATATGTAAATAAAAAAAAGAAGGGTATAAAAGTAGTTTCGGTTTGGTTTGGGGAATCGAAAGCGAACACTATACATCGTCTCCCTCCCAGAGAATGTCCTTCAAGAGAGTATCCTTCCCTGATGCCTATCGCACCTCGATCAGAACCTCGGTCTCCCTCTGTCTCACCATTGCGCCACTGCCCATCGTACCATGTTATTACAGTGAAACTGGTCCTTGATCTTGTCGGCAAGGCCTCCCTTGGGCTCGACCTTGTGCTTGTCCTTCTTGTGCTCGTCTTGCTTGTGGCCTCCTCCTCCCATGTGGAAGGTCTCTTCGATCTTGTGGAAGAATCCTCGCATTTCTTTGTTATTTCTCTCTCTGTATGGTTCGATATGTTCAGAGCGGTTCGGGTATTATATAAATCCGAACTGACTGATCGAACGGAACCATTGGCACCCCCGAATCTAAGAGAAGTAAACACTACTCTTTAGGTTTGTCTTTAACTGTTGTTGTAACACACGACCACTGTTACAACTTCCCACTGTCCCTTCTCGCGTGGTCCCACTCGCAAAGTGACGTGACAAACACTTTATCAATTCATCCAAAACCCACAAAACAATAGGAGTGGTTCGCAACTTGCCAAATAGTAAAAAATTATGTTCTTTTACTTTCAGAATTAATTTGAAAACAAAAATTCGTTTGTTAAAATTTTTGTGTCCAGATACAAATTTGCAAAAAATTATTCTCAGAATCAGTTTTAGAACAGAATTAAGAAGAAAAAAAAAATAATTTATTGATTCTGGAACAATTTTTCCATTTCTGACTCTTCTTGGTTTTCTTCTTTCTTTTTTATTTGTTCTTCATCTTCTTCTCGGCCCGCCACCGGCGACCGGCGACCGGCCAGGGTTAGTGAGGGCGGCGAGGCGACGGCGAGGTCGAGCCTAGCCTGGCCAAGGTGAGGCCGACCTCACCGTCACAGGGGGGTGGCGACGACGAGGTTGGCCTAGCCAAATCTGGGCGAGGTTGACCTCGCCGTCATGGGGGGTGGCGACGGCCAGTTCGGCCTCGCCTTGGCCGGGCAAGGTTCGGCCTTGCCAGATCTGGCCGAGGTCGAGCCTCGCCCGGCCATGGCGAGGCCGATCTCGCTGGCCTTGCGCCGGCGCCGGCGACCGGCCATGGCCAAGGAAAAAAAGAAAAAAAAAGAAATATTAAAAAATTCAAAATATCATTAATAAAAAGATATTTTGTGTAGTTACCAAACGCATTCCGTTCTTTTTCTATTCTAAGAATAAAAATTTTGAGCAGTTATCAAACGTCTTTAAATGCTTAAAAATTATTCTCGGTACGAAATTAAAAAAAATTATTTTTAGGTAGAATCTATTTTCAGACATAGAACGGTTGCCATTCCCAGCCAAGGTCAACTGTGGCCTCCTTATCCATCCTTTTCACTAGGGGTGTGCAAAAAACCCGGTACCCGCCCAACCCGCCCAGGACCGCCCGAAACCGGACCAGGACCGGTGGGTTCTAAGGGTTTCGGTCCGGTTCCCGGTTCCAATTTTTGGAACCGGTGGGTACCGGTCCGGTTCCCGGTTCCGGGTGTGGAACCGCCCACCCGCCCACCCGGACCGGACCGGTATAATATATAATATAATATTTTTAATTTTTAATTTAAAAAATTCAAAACCCTAAATCAGGATACTCTCTCACAACACAAGCTCACTCAGTCACTCTTGGTCGACGCCTCTCAAGTCTCAATCTCCGATACTCTCTCCTCTCCGACTCTCACCGTCTCCGTCTCCATCGCCCGGTCTCCGTCTCCGTCGGGTCCGCCGGTCTCCGTCTCCGTCTCTTCCATTGCGATCGCCAGTCTGCTCTCTCGCTATCTCTCTCTAGCCGGTTGTCCTTTGCATTTGCTTGCTCTCTCGATTTTCGCGGGTGTGGCTTCGTTTCGCCTGAATGTGGGGGTGTACGTGTGCGAAGAAACCCACGCACTTTGCTGGGCTTTGGATGTTATGCTGCATGAATTCCTCGCGTGTTTCAGTCGCATCTCTATTTCGTGTGAATTCCTCTTTCGCATGTTTCGGTGCTTGATGGCGTCTGCATTTCGTGCGATTCTCGACATGGGTTGGTCAAATTCGCCGAGTTTTCCTCTCGCATTTGCTTGCTCTGGGTAGTGGGTTGTAAATGGGTAGTTTAGTTGGAGAAACTACCCATTAAAAGTCATTTACAAAATGATGCACTTAGATGGGTCTTCGAGCATCTCTGTTTTATGATGGTAAAACGGGTAGATATGTTGGCAAGCAAGCAAGAAAGTACCAATCATGGTCTATAGCGGGATATTTGGTAGCGAAGATGATGTTTGGAGGATCCTTCGCACTTGGGAATGATTTCCCGGAAGAGGACAAGCGATGAAGCCGGTGATTAAGAGATCTTCTTCTTGGACTTGCTGAATAAATCCCGACAAGAGAAAAAAACACCAGAGAATCGAACAGAGAACACAAGCGAGATTAGCTTGTTCTTACGCCGATATTCTTTTGGTGATTTGCATCTTGTAGGTTTGTTTTGAACCCTTCTGAAAGTTTGGTTTTGTGTACAATAGCAATTGCTAAATTGCATCAAGCTTGCTTGAATAAAAGAAAAACATTCGGTACTTGTGCAATTTTATAAATGCTTGCCTTGATTATGAGCCATGCTCTCGTATCTCACGAGTGATTCTCAGCTTTATACTTTTGTTAACATGATAGTAGAACTTTAGGGCAAAATTTTGGAACATCCATGCCCAAAAGATGCTTTCTTTTACCACACTAGTATGTTCAAGTCTTGGTGTTCTAGAATTGGTATTCTTGGTATTTTATGTTCGATTAAGTTTGCTATGTTGGTAAATTTCTTTTGTTTTTTGTGAAGTATTCAGTTGACAAGTGCTTGAGCTCTTATATGGTCTCAATGTTTTTTCACCTTCAAGCCTGGTTGGGAGGCTTAACAAGACCCATCAAGCCTACCCGTCATGATAAGTTTTATCACGGCTACGCCGTGATCGACGTCGTTTTTTGCGTTTCGGAGTCGTTTAGATGGGTTTTCTAGCTTTAGTTTTGAATCTTGATGACCTTAAATTTTATCCGTTAATGACATGTTGCTTGATTTGAGCAGGTGATCTATTAACATGTCAATGGAAGTAGAGAAATCCTATGATGAGATAACACCAATAATTGAATCGAATCACTAGAACATGGAGGAGGGGAAGATGACTTTGAAGAGGCATCGATAAGGTATCCGGTTCTTGTCCTCGATCTAGTAAGCGAAAATCGGTAGCTTGGCTTCATTTTCGTAAAGGCAAACCCGACCTGAACGGAAACTTGAAATGTTTTGCAATTATTGTGGGACCAAGTATTTGTACCATGTTGATAATGGCACTTCAATTATGTTGAAACATTTGAGAAAGTGCCCTAAGTATCCTCGCAATATAGATAAGAAGCAAAAATTGTTTGCATCACATACGATGTGGGAATCAAATGATAGGGGAAATACTAGTATTGGAAGTGCTAGTTTTTAACGACATGGAAGTTTGATCGGGAGAAATGTAGGGAAATGCTAGTTCGAATGATTATAATTGATGAACAACCATTTTCGATGGCTGAGCATGTTGGATTTCGTGATTATACCAATCAATTACAGCCTCTCTTCAAGCATGTGTCGCGATTTACGGTGGCTAGAGATTGTATGAAGTTGTATTTTTGTGAAAAAAAGAGTTTGAAGGCTTCCTTTCATAAGCTTAATTCTAGAATCGCACTCACGACCGATACATGGAGTTCCTTCGAATTTGAACTATTTATGTCTCACCGCACATTTTATTGATGAAAACTGGGAATTGAACAAAAGAATCATCAATTTTGTGGTGTTGCCTAGTCACAAGGGTAGGGATATTGGGAAAATGGTTGAGAAATGCATTTACGAGTGGGGAATAGAGAAAAAGTGTCAACAATCACCGTGGATAATGCTAGTTCGAATGATGTTGCCATTGGTTATTTGAAAGAAAAGTTTGCAAGAGATAAACTTTTGATCTTAGATGGTGAAGTTTTACACATGAGGTGCACGGCTCATATATTAAACTTGATTGTGAGGGATGGCTTAGCCGAGGTACGCGATTCTATTGCACGTATTCGTAACGTTGTTAGGTATGTGAGAAGTTCTCCCATGAGAGCTAAAGCATTTCAAGATTGCATTGAGAAAACAAGGATCACTTATAAGGGTTCGGTTGTCTTGATGTCTCCACTAGGTGGAACTCCACTTACCTAATGTTAGACACCGCCATAAAGCTAAGAAAAGCTTTTGAAAGGATGGATGAAGAAGATATTTCTTTCTCAACTGAGCTTAGCTCCGATACTCCAACTAGTGTTGATTGGGAAAATGCCATTATTCTTTGCAAATTTTTGAAGAAGTTTTATGATGCAACCAACAAGATGTCTCGGGACTTTGTATATCACTTCAAATGATTATTTTGAGGGAATAGCTTCTTTATTCAATTATCTGAAAGAAGCGGCGAAGGCTTTCGATCCTAGGGTGAGAGTTATGGGTGCGAAAATGAAAGATAAGTTTGACAAATACTATGGGAGTTTTGAGAAAGTGAATATGATGGTGTTGATTGCTGTAGCATTGGATCCTAGAAAAAAATGAATTATGTGAGGTATTGTTGTAGACTCATTTATGATGATATTGCAATAGTTGATGAGATGTTTGACAAGGTGAAGTTCGCCATGGAACGTTTGTTTAAATTTTATGAGAAATCTTCTCTTGGGTCTTGTGATAAGAATTTGGGTGGTCAACTTTTGAGTTCTACTAGTCTTGGTAGTAGTTGCGATCCTTATTGCGATGAGGGAAATGAAGGGGAAGATTGCGGTTTGGATTTCTACGTGCAAGAGCCATCATATGAAGCCTTTCTTAATGAGGAGAAAAAGAAGTCTCGAGGGCAACTTATCCGAACTCGATCGGTATCTTAAAGCCGAACTTGAAGAGGCTCGCGATCTTGACATTTTGATGTGGTGGAGCATGACCGGTCAAAAGTTTAAAATTCTATCTTTGATGGCTCGGGATATTTTGTCTGCATTCCGTAACTACGTTGCTTCGTAGTCTACCTTCGCACATCCGGTCGTGTGCTTGATGGCTTTAGAAGTTCTTTGACTCCTAGAGTCTTGGAAGCTTTGATTTGCACTCAAGATTGGTTGAGAGCGGTTATCGAGCCGATTAATATTGAAGAGTGCATCGAGAATGCGGAAAAGTTTGAGTTGGGTAAGGCCATATCTTTTCATCTTGTAATTATTTCATATATCTAATGAGTGAATGCTTTATTTAATATCTTCTTTTTATTAGATATGGATCATGTTAACGTGGAGATTAACAGTACATAGAGTTTACAAGTTGAAGCGAAAGGAATATATGTGGTGAGATTTTTCAATAATTGTTTGATTTCAATTTGTAGTTCTAATTTATAACTAATGTTGTGTGATCATCTCGCATCTATACGTATTGTTGTTTTGTTTTCGGGAGGTTGGAACTTGGAGTTTTAGAGCACTCAAAGCCTCGAGAAGTTGTTTGCTGCTTTTATTCATGCGTAAGTTCATATTCTTCAATACAAAGTGTCTGTAAATTGTAAACACTATTATTTCAGACTTGTTTCATCTATACTTATTTGTTTTCAGGATGTTGGAACTTGAAGTGAAAGAGCTCTCAAAGCTTAATAAGTTGCTTGCTCTTTTGATTCCTGAGAATAGGAAAGTTGTTGTTGTGTTTACTTGCTGACTATTGTGAATTTGTGGCAAACTCCCATGTGTGATATATAATATAAGCTACGGATGTATTTGATGTGGAGCTTGTGAAGTTGTTATGCATGCTTGTCGTAATCTTTGATTGTCAATCAATTTGATTGAGATCAAAGCTTTCCTTCCGTGAAATCCATACCGAGATCACTAGCTATTGTTTTTCGTTCTCGAGTTCGCATCCGAAGAATTTCTCGTCACAAGCTCGTTTCAAAAATTTCAGCCTTCAGATCGCTTCTTAAAATTTCTCCGTCGCCTCGAATAATTTCGGCTCGAGATCAAAGCTTTCCTTCGTAAATCCATACCGATCACTAGCTATTGTTTTTCGTTCGAGTTACTCAGATCCAAGAATTTCAAGCGTCAAGTGCGCTTCGAAAAATTTCAGCTTCCAGCATCTGCTTCTTAAAATTTCTCCGTCTAAGGTCTCAATAATTTCGGTGTGGAGTCTCGAACTTAGATTATATGGGTCTTCAATAATGTATTTACTACTTGTAAAGTCCGAAAACTTCCTTCCCGAGCTTTCATAATATATATACATTCCCGGAATAGAATAGTTCGAATAAGTATCGATTTACAATAACGTGGAAGGTTTTGTCAACTTCAAAATCAATAGGAGTTTTCCTCAACAACATATTCCCTTTGTTGACATTTGCTAGCGATTTGGTCGTGAAAATGCTAGTCTTTCTCGTGAATTTCCTTACATCTTGTGGGTTGCAGCCTTGTTATTGAAAGTGCTCGTCCCGCTCGCTAGCCTTTTGCCGCTCGCCACTCGCCGCGCTCCGATCCGAACCCATTGGGCCGGTTGGTCCCGGTTAAACCCGGTACAAAAATGAAATAAAAAAATTATCGGTTGGTCCCGGTTGACTCGGGACCGGACCGAACCCATTGGGTCGATCCGGTCCTCGGTCCTAGGCTCAATAGGGTCGGTCCTCGGTCCCAAAATTGAAAGACCAACACTCATGCGGGTTGGTCAGGGTTAGGGGTGGACCGGCCCAACCCGACCATGCTCACCCCTACTTTTCACAGAACCCCATCCAGAAGCGCCGTTATCACTCACCAGAGAGAGAGAGCTTCACTTGCTACTACCGACTGCTTCCACCTCCTCCTCCTCCTCCTTCAATGGCGATTACGACGTCGGACAAGGGCATGGCCGCCGTCGCCAGGAGGGTCGCTGCGGTCGCCAACCACCTCTCCCCTCCCGACCCTGCTCCGGAGGGGCCGTCCCCTGTCTCCGCTCGGCCCTGTGCCGGCGGCGGCTCCATGAACGACGCCTACCATCGCATTCATGGCGAAGTCCCCGACCATCCGGTCGTGTGGAGGACCGCGGACGATGGGTCGGGCCTGGAGTTCACCGACGTCATCTACGAGAAAGCTGTCGGCGAAGGAATCGCCAAGGTTTTTCCATGGAGCGACGAAGCTCGGTTATGATGTGTGATCAGCCTTCTGCAATGAATGATCATTAATACATAAGCAATGCCCTTTCTCCTTCGTTGGTGCTGTGCAGATTACGATTAATAGGCCGGAGAGAAGAAATGCGTTCAGGCCGAAGACAAACAAGGAGCTGAGCAGGGCACTTAGCGATGCGAGAGACGATGTTTCGATTGGGGTCATCATTCTCACTGGAAAGGTACTGTCCATTTCTGTAATATCTTGATTTTCTTCTTATAATTCGCACTTTCCAGGAAAGTAATAGCAGAGCAGGCTGATGCTTCGAAAATTTTGGGTTCGCGATTAAATTAGGCCAAGTAAACTAGTCTTCTTCATTCATGGCTTGAGAAAACTTGATTGGGGAGTCTTTAAAATAGAGTTCATTTTGAATTTTTGCAAATTCCAGATGCATTGTCTTTTGCTCATGAAATTAAAGTCTTGCGTGTAAAATCGAAGCCGCATCAAAATGTCGGTGGCTCATTCATCCAGTGAATTTCAGGGTCGTGCAATGCCTAATTTTGTTTCTTCAACACACTCAATGTTTAGGGAACTAAGGCATTCTGCAGCGGTGGTGAGCAGGCTTTGAGGACGAAGGACGGTTATGCTGATCCCGGAGATGTTGGCAGGCTAAATGTCCTGGATTTGCAGGTACAATGTTAACCTGGCCAAACTTTGTCTAGCGTGATATAGTCATTCTAAGTTGGTGCAATTGCCTATCCTGCATCACCTTTTTATCGGTCGATGAATCTTTCTGGTACCTATTTTTCAGTCCTGGTGTTACAAAACTATACATTTCTATTCCTTTCACATAAATAAAACGGCCGCTAATGGAGCTTTTCATGTTCGTGCAAAGCAAAACAAGGCGCTCCCATTTCTTGAGTGTCACATAAGGCAGGCTTTCATGTTTTGGTTGCTTCCATTTGCAGGTCCAGATTAGGCGTCTCCCTAAGCCAGTAATAGCAATGGTAAATGTTCTCCTTATTTCACTCTCACTGCACATATTAATTGCCGTGTTCTCTCTGGTGAATTTACTTCTGATGGGGTTTATGGATTATCCCCCTCTACCAATTCAGGTTGCTGGCTATGCCGTTGGAGGAGGGCATGTACTGCATATGGTCTGTGATCTGACAATTGCTGCTGATAATGCTATTTTTGGTCAAACCGGTCCTAAGGTACTTATGACTTGTCTAAGTGTTTCTTATTCTATCAAAAGAGTTTTCATTGAGGTTGAGGTAACAAGGAGATACTACCGTAATTGCTTTTGATAGAGGATACCTGGTCGGTTCTGCCTTCCTTATGGTGTATAGCACAGTATGGCCCATATAATTAATCTAAGCTGACAGCCTTTCAACTGTTCCCATTTGTTCAATTTGAAGTCATAAAGTTATGATGTAATCTGTTCTCGTTTTTGCTCTTTTAAGGTTGGAAGCTTTGATGCTGGTTACGGAAGTTCGATCATGTCTCGATTGGTGAGCATTATGGATGAACTTGCCTTTGCTATCATGTCGCTTAAATTACGACACGTCACATCGTTTTCTTTCTTCTTAATTTTGGATGGGTTACTGTTGACTGTGTTATACTTCTGCATAGTAAGAAACTTGTGGCATAAATATGAACAAACAGGTTGGGCCTAAAAAGGCACGTGAAATGTGGTTTTTGGCAAGGTTCTATACAGCTTCTGAAGCAGACAAGATGGGACTCGTTAATGTTGTTGTGCCGGTGAGTTCATTTCACTGACTTATCGTAACTTCACCTGTCCTTAATTTTCTTCCAGAGGAAAAACTGATGAGAATGGGAAAGAACTGCAGAACCATGCTTGAATCTTGTTTACTAGGACAAAAGTATATAGCTTGCAAAGTCCTAATAGCATTCTCATTGTGTTGCAGACTGCAATATGTACAAAGATGAACTAGGCACATTCTCTCGACCATCCAGTTTACCAACTTAAGCAATGCTAATGATTTGTTGATCTTGTTCAGCTAGAGAATTTGGAGCAGGAAACAATCAAGTGGTGCAGAGAGATATTGAGAAATAGCCCAACGGCAATCAGGGTGCTCAAATCAGCCCTTAATGCCGTCGACGATGGCCACGCAGGGCTTCAGGTACCTTCAGTACCGAACATCTCATTACACAGCAATAATAGTTGTCTTGTTACCATCCATGTTGTTAAGAGTCCAACAGCATTCCAATGTTGGGTTTGATGGGCGTTACAAACGCGTTTCATTCCCATCTAGCAGTTGAACCTTTTAGAGCTATCTGCCCTCATAAACATGTCATCATAGCTAGTCAAGTTTCGGATTCAGGTTCCTCATTTTCTCCGTTGTATTCCATTTATCACACAAAATGCATTTTGATTTTACCTATTCTGTGACCAATGTACATAACGCTGAGGTTCCATTCATCATCATGATGTAATAAAACCTTCAATCAATTTCTCGGGAGCCCCTTTGAATTATTCATTGGGCATGGTTGATAACACTTACTGTTGTTTCTTTTTCTTTCTTCCCTTCGTTTAGGGACTAGGTGGAGATGCAACACTTCTATTCTATGGAACCGAAGAAGGGAATGAGGGCAAAACAGCATACATGCAGCGGAGGCAGCCAGATTTCTCTAAATTCCCTCGACTGCCATGACACCCGTATTTCTGTACTTGTTATTTTTTGGACAGGTGTGTACGAATAGTTCTCATGTACGATGGTATTATCCTAAATTTGCTTACGATGATATTCTTCTCATGCAATGCACAGGTTCATTCACTAGCTGTAACTAGAGTGAAATTGAATCGAAGTGATATCAATATATTGATATCGATCGGCTCAGGTTCAAGTCATGCTATTGCATCGATGTGAATGTCAAAAAGCGCTAGTGGATCAAAGGAAAACTCTTGCAAGACTGGAATTCCATTTTCAGTGTTGTTTCCTTCTAGCCCAACCACTTTGATTGTATTTGCAATCTCTTCCTAATATTTTCTGGCCAAAAAAGACCTTGCTGATTGTGATTCCAATCTCTCCAAAAGAGAATAGTTTGCAGTTTGGATAAAAGGCCTTGCTGATTGTAATTGTTGCTCAATGCGGGAGAGTAGGCTACCGTGTCTACTGTCAACTTCGATGTCAACTTCTCTATCTATTTCTTTTTGTTGCTTTTTTGTACTTTTTTTAAATATAAAAGTGAGGGGGTAAAAGTTG